CCCCAAAACCCCAAAACCCCAAAACCCCAAAACCCCAGAAAGATCGAGAATTATTGAATAAATTTATTCTTGGGTGGCCACATTAAATATGGATCTTCATAAAACTTGCAAGTCTGCATTTCAAGTATGTTCATATAAATCTTCAACCAAGTCTCCTAGCCCAGACTCTATAAATTGACTTTCTTGTTCTTCTGTGAAAGAGTAGATGAAGTGATAAGTGACTGATAATAAACTTTTTAGGACTTCGATATCCTTTTCATTCTCAAAGGCGTTCTTTATCTTGTAAATAAAGCCTACTTCTTTTAAGAATTGTGTAATATCATCATTCTCCAACAAAATAAAGCACCTGAGGGTTTCTGAAACTTGGATCAGCCACTCTTTATCACTAAAATGGGTATAAAGGTTGGTTAATTGGATCAGAATTTCTATATTATGTTCCTCTAGCCATTCAGTCTCAGGGACAATTTGTGTTAAGTTCTGAATTGCTACTAACTCAGTTGTAAATTTAAGTCAGAACAGATGTTTGAGGAGACCAAGCTCGTATAATTCCTTAGCATGCTTTTCATGGGCGGTACACGCACATGCTATAGTAAGAGCAACTTTAGAGGCTTCAAAATCAGATAGATCAGCAAGGTACATTATATATTCTAGAAACATTGGGTAGGTTTGTACAATTTCTTCTCCCATATCTTTTAACGTAATAATCTTTATGAAACAGGCCAGAGCTAGTGTTTTATTGTCTGTGTTTACATCACTGTTTATCATAGTCCCGTATAGAAAAGGAATTAAAGATTTAATCTGTGTTTTGGTTATTTGATTTGATTTTCAAATAAGGTCCTTTAGTATACCCAGAATTCTGAGCTCATTGGCTTCACATTTCACTTGCTGGTCTATAACTTTGACTAATGTTTCTAAAATGTTGTTTTGTAAGAAATATCTTTTTGTAATTTTATCAAATCATAAATTTTGAATAATATCAAGCTCTCTTTTTCAGTTTGTATTGAGATCCTCTGGTCTTGCCCATTGATTAAGCTTTGAAAGTAAGTAGTCTGCTAATCCAGTATCAACCAGAGATTTCTGTATATCAGAACTTAACACTAGTGAAGTCAGGTTTATCATTAAGCTTGTAATCGCTTCATAAAGTGCGCCAGAAGAACTCTTATAGTCTTTTACAACATTCAAGATAAATTCTGGATTAAGAGTCTTTGAAATGACTGTATATGATTCTTGGTAAAGTCCACAGCTAATCATTTCATATGCTTTTATCAAAAACTCTTCATCATCGATTGCTCTCATTTCTTCCTCAATTGACATTATTCTTTGGATGAAGTCCCCAGACTTCCAAAGGGCACTGTAATCTGGCTCAGTTGATTTATTGAGATAGCGGACTTTTCTGGTATCATAGAACCTATTTTTCCTCGCCTTCTGTCTGAGTTTGACCATAAATTGCTCTCATTTCTGTTTTGGTGAGTTTATGCCCACTTTGAGGAACTCTTTATAGCGTTTGGTCCTTCTGTCTTCCATATTTAGTAAATATTATTTTCATTTCATTTTAAATTATGCGGGGTTTTGGGGTTTTGGGGTTTTGGGGTTTTGGGG